AAGGCTTATATCTCTGCCTGGTAGTTGTGCTCACCAACCCAAGCAACCCCGCTTATCCCTGGTTAGTGTCAAACAACGTGGTTCAGGCAGTTTCCCCTCAATTTCCCTTTTAATGTAAGGTGACGTGCTCTAAATATCTTGAATATATAAGTAAATAGCCTATAGAAAGGTAGATGGAGAGTTTCAGTATGCCGTAGTGTTGTTGCAGGTTAGGCAAAACGAAGGTTGCCGACTTGAAGAATCATTTGGATACACAAGTTTAAGATTTTGAAAGCGCAAGGGATTGTAGGTATTCTGAAGGAAGTCTGCGTGGAAATGTGAGGAATTTCGGGAATGGGCGTCGGGAATTGTAGGTAGGAAGAGGGGAATTGTGGGGGAGAGATGGGGTGTGGTTGTGGTAGGCACGTGGGAAATTGTGGGTAAGGACGGGCGGAATTGGGGTGTGGGGTGCGGAATTGTGGGTAGGGGCGGACGGAATTGTGGGTAGGAAGAGGGGAATTGTGGGTAGGGGCGGACGGAATTGTGGGTAGGAAGAGGGGAATTGTGGGTAGGGGCGGACGGAATTGTGGGTAGGAAGAGGGGAATTGTGGGTAAAGCAGTGACGTTATGTCACAATTACTGCACCAACGCTAACGGGAATCATTAGCCCTAACTGTATTCTGATTCTGATAACACACAAGGAAACTCCTGGACACCAAAGTTCACAACAAGCGGTCAGCACTGAAGAGTCTGAAAAATGGTAAATGGAAATTACAACCTACTCATTTGATTTCGTTCTTTACTTCAAGTAGAAGCGTTGTTGAACAGCCATTAACGTCATCGGCATGGCTAAACGTAGAATCTTTCTACATTTATCGCAAAATACATCCTTAATATCAAATACAAATACCTTCCGTCGATGATGTAACATCGGAAAGGCAACATTTTCTTATACCTTGAATATAACCTGTTTCCAACTGAACAAACACTGTAATCTCAGTCCAAGCATATGTTGGTTCATATCAACCGCCACCCAAACGCCCAAACTCATAAAACAGCCAAAGTATATCAATCTAAATACCAAAAACACCCTTCCAGAGTCATCACCATCAAACACTTCAGTCCATCTATGTAAACTATCTACATCAACTCGGCCGCGTTTTCGAGATTTATCGCAACTGCTCGTTTTATCCTTCTCATCTCACTGCGCATGTCACGTTCGAGGCATTGTGGGTAGAAAACAAGGCAGGTTTTCTATGTTTCTTGATTATGCCAGGTGCGAAGCTAATCAGCTATGGTTGAGGAGATTCCACAGTCTTCCTTTCTTTCCATGCTATTCACACGACACACTTTCAAACCGTTTCTTTTCACTTGTTGTGGACGCTAAACGTTCCTTCTTCTCATTAGTATATGAAAAATTCGCTGAAAAGGTGCATTAAGAAAATGAATATAGAACAACATCCTGTTCAACTCAGGCAAGGGGGTGGGGTTCTGCTGGAGGCTAAATACGTACAAATTCGGATTTCTAATCTGTTAACTACAATTCAGTATTCAAGTACATGTACAGCCAAACACCGCTGTGTCGAAGTTAAGGGACTTCCGTAAATACTTCGAGTTATCCGTAGTTCGACACAACCGAACAAACTTAATAAAGAACTAATTTGAAGGACCAAGATTAAGTTCGAGAAAACCGGAAGTTCGACACATCAGAGGTCGACCCAACGGTGTTTGTACATGGTTTAACGACAATCTTTCCTCCAAAAGGGGAGGAAAGGCAAACATATTTCGAGTTATACTAGGCTGGGGATTAGTCGAGAAGGAAGTAATATGAACAACAGGATCACTTCGAGGTATTTAGGTATTCAGATAAAAAAAACACGTTCAGGGCAAGATATAGGTCTGGCATATTTCGAGTTACCCAGGGTTTCAAGATCAACAGCACCACTTCGAGATAAGCAACGGTTCGAGATAAAGATACTTAAACAATTCCATAACTGGAATACAAGTACTGTCTACTATCATCCGTTCAAGGACGACTGGGGCGGTGGGGTAGCCTAGTGGTTAAAGCGTTGGCTCGTCACGCCGAAGACGTGGGGTTCGAATCCCGACATGGGTACAATGTGTGAAGTCCATTTCTGGTGTCCCCCGCCGTGATGTTGCTGGAATATTGCTAAAAGCGGCGTAAAACCATACTCAGTCAGTCAGTCAAGGACGACTGATAGGCCAACAATATATCGAGTTATCCAAGATTTCGGCATAGATCTGGTATCAGTCGAGGAGCTTACAGTGTGGGTAACAGGACCGCTTCCAGATATGTAATAAATTGAGATGAAGAAGCTCTTTCGAACCGTATTTCCACATTCCAAGTATTGTCCATCCCCGACCTTCAAGAAGGATGAGACGCAAACGCGATAAATCGCAATATGCAAGGCTTTAACTACAGCGAGGAAGTGATTTCGAAATAGAGTGAAGGCAATGTTTGAAGCGGGCGGTCTCTGAGAAAAAAGTAGTTGCTAGTGGTTGGTAGTGATTTGAACTAACATGTGAGTTCGACGATTCTCAATCCTCAGTCATGGCATTTATGTGGAAAATTTGAGGTTAGCGTTGAGCTGCATGCTGTGTAACGCGGTCATTTTCTCTGATTGACAATCCAGTACGGTCTCCAATAAAATACCAATAACAATCCCATCGCCGCTAAAGTGATAAAATTCAAATATACAAGTTATGCTATCACAGATGACTCACACATGAGGTGTGATATCTAGAGTGAGTGAGTGAGTGAGTATGGTTTTACGCCGCTTTTAGCAATATTCCAGCAACATCACGGCGGGGGACACCAGAAATGGGCTTCACACAATGTGCCCATGTGGGGATTCGAACCCGGGTCTTCGGCGTGACGAGCCAACGCTTTAACCACTAGGCTACCCCACCGCCCCTGTGATATCTGGAAGGGTATGAATACTAAACAGAATTTAATCATAAACTACACCCTCAAAACACCACCCACCCCCACCCCCATTTCACATCTACCACCTCCCACCTCCCCTCACTTACAGCCTTGATTTGTTCTAATGCCAACAGCATACGAGAGTCTACCTTTAGCGTCTAGACTCATTAAGGTTAATAAAACAAATTGGGATTGTTTGTCTCATTTCAATTCAAAATAGATTCGCACGATCGCGGCAAATATGTTTGTTTTCCTGATGATAGAGAAAAAATAAACGCTTAACCTGATTCACCTTCAGCGCACATCCCCGAAACACCTAGATTTTACCCGTTCCATTAAAATATGCGAAAACAAACAAAACCCGACCGCGCGACCGGGAAAAATTAGTGTCAGGTGCGGGAAAGTACATTATCTTAATCCAAATTCCGCCTCCATCCACGTAAAACAACCCTTATTAACCCCAGCCCCTTAACAAACCATCATGTCTTCATTCCCCTTACCCCTTAACAAGGCCCCAGCGTACCCAAGTTTCCCTCTGATCTGAACAGGCCTCTTCGAAGGCTGTGTCAATAACTTAGTGGTTGAAGCACTCGTGAGTAGTTTCAACCGATCTCTCTGAGCCAACCAACCACCACACACACACACATACACACTCACACACACACATACAATTCGCAAACTAATCTGTAGAGAAAAGAGAAGGAGAAAACGAGAAATAAAAGACGCGAGAAGAATATGCTGGATCTAAGCCTCCATACAAAACGAAACGTTGAGGGTAGTCACAAAAGCGAGCAGCTGCTGGGCGCCTTTAACGACGGTTGGGGTGGATCGTCGCAGCTAGAGAAACTCAGGGTACAGGCGCGTACGGAGAATAAACCAGTTTACCCATCGCTATACTGAGAGATGAGTAAGAGATGGCTCAACACTAACATGGCCTGAATTACGACGGATCTTTGCCAGATTAATGTATTTATTCTTGTACAGACTGTTTAGTCTAGGTAAATATACAAGCCAGATACAGTAGACGAGCCACCAGTGACACAATCCTAAGATTACACTTAATCAGTTTTTTGATATCATTACAACTAACCGCTAAATAATTGTCTATGTCTCAACAGATGTAGTGAAAAAACGACATCAATAAACGTTCTTAGTCAGTGATGATAAATCGGGCAGGGATTTATATTATATCGGTTTAAAATAAAATAGGTTTAATTTTTATGCGAAATACTTCCTCAAATCTGTTAAATTTGTTGTGTTATTGTCGAATTCCTGTTGTACGACCTCCATACAACCACACTCTCCTTCAACACTTCAAAACCGCATAACGCGCTCGCGGTCTACTTCGATAAAACAGGCACACGTGATCGTGATGGCGTTTTTAAACGCCTTCAGCGTTCACGAAGTACTCAATACTATTCCAGTTTCACCGCTCCTAATGTAACGATTATAACCCCGAGTTAGAGATAACAAGTGCCGAATCACCTGCTCTACAACTGGTTCAGATTCGCCGTGTACAGGTACACACGTAACGAAAACCACGCGACCACATCACTGGAATAAACTCCAGCACAAGCTCACGACAACGTGTGCAGCATGATAATAATTAAAATCCATCTGTGACTAGGTTTCTGATGTGATATGTTAGAATAACACACTTGCAAATTATTGAAACAATTCGTTTCGAATTTATCATTCTAATCATAAACAAAGAGAAAGCTACGTAAACAATCACGTTACCGTGATGACAAAGTGGATCTCATTTCGTAATTCAGGGAATGTGTTTCAAACCGCAGACATTGCACTTTGACTCGCTGTCACAAATAGCCATACACATTCATACATAGCTCTACACGAATTTATAATCACCCGCTAAATTTGTGTATTAGTTAACATATCCCTTGCTATTCACAAACATCATACTTTAAACACGGTTTTCAGCTAACGAACTCTCCCAAATATCCTTCAACAAGAATGTTCCTTTCTGTTGGTAAATATGCAAATAAACATTGAGATTCAAAATAACAAAGATAATTCTAAACAGAAACGAAATTGAAAATCACAATGTACTCACCACTTGCAAGAGCAATCCCACAGAATATTGTCAATAACCAAAACACGTACAAGCTGGTGTTGTTCATGATGCTGCGATTAGCTGAGGTATCCAATTACAGGTATATACAAATCCAGGTAAACGGGTGTTAATCACTTCCAATATCTTCACTATCTCTCGAACACCCAAACACTCCGGCTACTGTTTCCGCTGTATCCAAACTTGCATCTGGAAGTCAAATTGAAGATATTCACAAAACAGCCACAATTAGAGTAAATAAATCCTTGGCTACCTGTCCAAAACACAATTAGCAATTAAGCACACTTTGGTAGTACTTGAGAGAGAGTTAAGGTAAGTGTCGTCCTCTTTCCGAGCCGAGCCTGAGCAAGCAGCCCGCATGTTTCACGGCACACTGAGTTTGTGGGCATGTTGAAGCGAGCGAGTGGCTTTGTATAGCTGACTATTGGGCGAGGGCCGACCTCACTGGTTGAAGCCCGACGCTTCACGGAGACTAGAGTTAGGGGTGAGCATTCCCAACCATGGAACATATATGTTACCTTAAGATCAACCGATATTCGCATGTTTCAAATACTTTGAATTTAACACCTGTTTTCCAGACCACGAGATTCAGCGGGTTTTGAATCAGCATGTTGTTGGGTACAGGTTGGTGATAATTTCTCAACAATGAAAATGTAGAGAACGTTGTTAGTTGTGTGAAAACTCGAGGAATTTGTTGTTTATTTGTTGTTTAGATTGTGGAACATCTGTTCTGATCATTTTGTTTGACATGGAAAATATTAATTCTCATTTCAGATAATACATAAAGCTACTGGGGGTCGTATTTCAGATATTCATCAACCCTTTCCTGTAGCTACTGACAATGGTTCATCAAGGCTTCACGTTACGATATATATTTACCAACAAGTTCATGTCGTGTTAGGTCACAAGCATCTCTCTTTGCGGGATGTTAAACAATCATTTGAAATAACATAACTTGTTCAGCATTTCGTAATGTATTCAAGTCATCGGTCGTATTGTAAATCTAGTCGATATCAAAGAGAGACGGTACATACTTGGCGCCTTGTATTACACCTGCGGACATAATATACATAATCTTCACACCCTGTCGTACATGGAGTCGACGTGCAGGTTTTAGTGTAAATACAATATCAGTTATCTAACCCTGCCTCAACAGTTGGACAAAATCGTGACAAAACTCCGGAGACAAAATTGTGTTCGTTGTATATATGACGCATTTTCCCTGAACGTGGAATTAAAACTTACATAATTGTAATTTGGGTCAGAAATAATAACTTGGAAACCATGATAGTGTTATACAGTCTTAGTTAATAGTGGCATAAAATGGCAACGAATCAGAAAATAGGATGTCTCGGATGACACAGATGTGTCCGACCCAGCTTCCAAGGAGAGATTACTCTCTTTTCCTGCTAACTGAAATGGTGAGCGAGTGATTCTGGTTGTACGCCGCTTCAGACAGTATTTCATCCAAATCGCGGCTGTCAGCTTGGCGTGGGAGGAAAGCCCGAAATGATGCAGGTCTCGGGCGTTTACCATTTCAAAAATCTTATGAAAAACTTTAATTAAAAACTTGAAATTTAATCAGGGGGAATGTAAGAATCGAATCTACGATCGTTTCTGGCAAAACAAGGGGACGCAACTCTGCAAATGCATTTGACGGCGCTGTGTTCCGTGCAATCTGAACTATTATACAGTTATGTCTAATGAATGCACGAATGAATTTCAATCTTCAATATGGTTTTTGTTGTTGTTTTTTTACTTTATACAAAAAATACAATTACAGTGAGTGAGTTTAGTTTTACGCCGCTTTTAGCAATATTCCAGCAATATCACGCCGGGGGACACCAGAAATGGGCTTCACACATTGTACCCATGTAGGGAATCGAACCCGGATCTTCGGCGTGACGAGCGAACGTTTTGTAACTACTAGGCTACCCCACCGCCCCTTCAACAATTACAACCCATGAAGCAAAAGTGTAAATTCAGACTAAGAATACGTGTGAGCACAAATAGGTCTTCTGTGGTCAGAGAGCGCCCTTCACACTTACCTCAACAATACATTCGCAACCAAGAGGACACCCGAATGACGTTACAGAGAGGAGAGACTTATGCCGAATGAATAGAGACGGTTGTTCGAAAATTTTTCAGCTTATCTTAAAGCACTTTATATTAAAGATGCATATAAGTGATTTAAGCAGCTATGTGTAATGAGTTAGAATTGTCAAAGTGTCATAGTTTTTCACGTCAATAAAATCTTAACTCTTCTCGTTTTGACATGGGTGTTTAGACACAGTTATGGAGATAAAGGGAGACAACCAGGCGCTAATATGGCTCTAATTCTCGAGCTCTGTGCGAGAAGTTGACGTGTTTTGGATGTAAGTGTTTAACTACACTGTCTGTAACAATGCGGTCAGGTTGGTTGCGTGTAACATGACACTCTGCTACTTTGTATCGGGTAGATGACATTTACACACCCTGGAGTAGAGCCGGAGTGATAGATTGGATCTGTGCGGTGATGTACAGGATGTTATTCAAGTACACAATATCTCGTTTCTTTCAGATTCACAGAAAAGCTAAAAAATCTAGCATTATCTTCATAATTAAGTGAAAATCAGGACCAAGAAAGTATGATTATTCATAACTATGTACTCTCGGGTTCAAAATGTTTTCACGGTTGAGTCCGCGTGGATCTTATTACATTGGCTGGCGTCGAAAACCCGCCATAGCGAAAAATAACGTTTTATAGCGAACTAACTTTGACCGATCTTTTGAAAAATAAAAATAATTGTAATTTTATATGTGACAGTTACAGTGCACAAGCACCTTTATATGTCCTAGTGTTTCAAGAACCTTCTGCCATGTCTGGGGTACAAGGGAGGGCTGCATGCTATTTATGTTTCCAAACTTCCGATACGGTACTATTCAAAATATATATTCATTAGATTGTAACCGAGGAGCGAACCTGAAGGATAATGGTCATGAATACTGATTCAAATACAGTGCTGGGCAAAACAAAGAGCACTCCCATCTATGGGTAATGAAACAAACAGGAATTAATCAGTCGATGGTGATGTATCTGATGCAGGCATGACGAGGCATCGTCGTTGTGGACCCCAAGGATGGGTAACCTTTAAATGACTTTTGTAAATAATTAGTAAAATCAAATTAATATTTTTCATGCAAATGTCGATACTGATGTTTTTAATTTTTATCAGCAGTCTAAATCGTATGGTGTAAGTATGACATGAGATATACATGACGGAACTAGAAGACAAAGCCCTGCTGACATCACCAATCGCACCAATATGCTGGTATAGAGAAGCAGACGACACCTTTGTAGTTCTCAAACCAAACGACAACCCTGAACACCTCCTCAACCACCTGAATTCCCAACATCCCCGTATGCAGTTCACAATGGAAGAAGAATCTGACAACAAGCTCCCTTTCCTCGACGTCCTAGTAAAGAAAGAAGACAACAAGCTCTCCACTACTGTCTACAGGAAACCCACCCATACCGACCAATACCGTCACTTTACCTCCAACCACGCTCTAGAGGTTAAGAAAGGCATCATATCCACTCTCACCCGAAGAGCCAAAAACATCTGCTCGACAACAGAAGCCCTAGAAACCGAACTAAACCACCTCCGCCATGTCTTCGTCCCTTATAACCAGTACCCCCAGAAGTTAGTCAACAATGTCATCACAATCACCCTCAAACCAAGAGATAAACCACCCCGCCGGCAATCAGCACCCTTTGTAATAAGTATCCCATATGTCCCAGCAGTCAGCCACCAGATAAGACGACTCCTTCAGCAGCAAGCAGGCATAGACGTCCTGTTTCAGAAAGGCAAGTCCATCCAGAACCTCCTCCAAGCCACAGGCAAACCACCGTCAAGAACAAAAAATGACCTCTCGGGAGTAGTCTACCAGATTCGTTGTCAATGTGGAGTCTTCTATATTGGTGAAACATCCCGCCCGCTCCCACTACGAATCAAAGAACATAAAGCGTCAGTCCAGAAAAACGACTCCAAATCCGCCATAGCCGACCACACCCAAGCCAACCCTGACATGCCATCCTATGGAACAACATCGATATCCTGGAAATCAACCGACAAGACTACAAAATTAGGAAACTCCTTGAAGCCATAAACATCCAACGCCACAACCCCACCATGAATCGTGATCAAGGTTATTTCATCTCCTCGGCCTATCACCACCTAATCAAAGACCACCACCAGTAATGTGCTTGCAATCACAACTAGTGTACTTCAACCTACTTACTTATCATCATGCCATTGTACGTCAAACTCATCAATTGTATAAACTCAACTCTAATCACAATCAATCCTCTGTACATCAACATCCTCTGCTCAAATCAATCTACATCAACCTTGTTAATTGTATATACTCACTATGCAGCAATGTATATATTCTCCTTGTTTCAAATTGTTGTATCCTTGCTTGATAACGGTGTTAGTACCTACACCGAAACGTCGCACTCATTGCAATAAAGAAGTTGACTATCCATGGAACTTAGTTTTCCTTCATCTTCACAACTTCTAAAATGCCTCTCAAAGAAAGTGTGCATTGTGTCTTCAAGGGGCGGTGGCATAGCTTAATGATTAAAGCGTTTGCTCGTCACGCTGGAGACCCGGGTTCGATTCCCCACATGCGTACAACGTCTGAAGCCGATTTCTGGTGCCCCGCCGTGATATTGCTGGAATATTGCTAAAAGCGGCGTAAAACTATACTCACTCACTCTTGTCTTCAAATATGAGCGAACGTCTAAACACTATAACCCGGATGTAGTCACACAGTATCGCCTGTGAAGACTTTTTAATCTCTGACCATTGGTTATTATTCTGTTGGAATGGCGATTAACATATCACCAAAAACGAAACATCTTATCTAAAAGTCAAATTTAGCTGTTATATCCGGAGACTTAAGACGGTAAGGCGGACATGTTAAATAATCGAACAAATAAATGTTTATCCAGACTACTGTTATTGACCTGTTCGGATTATCGAGGTATTCTTTCTCCGTACTCACTGCACTAACCCGGATTTTACTTGAAAATAAATTCTCGGAGAGACTCTGAAAGTAACTACAGTTTTTTGTTTTGCCATGCATGGCTTACCACGCGAAACGCAAATTGTAAATTCTAAAACTCCAGCCTTGATGTTACAAATGCAGGAGAATTTTGACTAGATTTATTTATGAGCGCGACCGCACTGACAGAAACTAACGACGATGAAATCCTATTGCATAAACACGCGTAACACCGCGCCAGGCAGTACGCTTCCCAGTCTGAAGCCATTGTCCACGGTTTGACTGGGGACAGTCTGTATAACGTATGTACCTATATCTCCTCCTTGAGAACGCGTAACTGTCTGTCTCGCCCATCCATTGTGCTACCTTACTGACGACATATCATACTTGAATTTCATGCGCACTCACGCGAAGCGGAATTATCTTCTGAATTAGTCCTTGTAGCTTTGGAAGCGCCCTTAATGCCATCTGGAGTGAGCTATAAGTATTTGACGTTAAGGTATACACGTCAACAAACATGTTTTGGTGACGGTCTGCCCTACCAAAACTAAAATTAGTCTCTCTTTTCATAACGCCCTTCACAAACGGCGATAGTACTTCGCGCTCTGGGAGTAATTATTCGGAAATTATTCACCCCGTGAAAGTACAGCCTTACTATGCGATTCGATCAGCGAGCTTTGTGTGACGCGCTTTATGTGAAGAGACCTGGAATTTTATTCGACAAGTTAGATTGCGTGTTCCTTTGTATTGCATAATGCAAAGTCCAAACACAGGCGAGCTTGTAAAATAGCGTGAATGCCTTGGGTTTTTGTCTCGCTCGGCTGAATATCATATCATGGTGGTAATATAGAAAGGCATATTCAGCACACGTCTGTGTATGAATATATCGGCTAATATAACGCCACAATCTGCGTATATTCCTCTCCGCCCGCATGATTGAGTGATACAGGCCCACCAGACAGCTAAACATATGTACAGTATACAGCGCCTTTAGCTATAGTTTAACATACGTATACACCTAGAAATATGTTAAATACCATTTTGAATAATTCCTCAGTGACAGACTGGCGTGTTCCTCACGGTGATCACGTCATTGTGTGGCGTTCATGATGTGGTTTGACGTGACGTTCCATTACGCTCTGAATGACATTTCTTGTCGACAAGGTGACTTTTAAGTCCCCGAAACGTTTATTAATCTGATTAAAATGTAAAAAGATATTTTTCTTCGTGTGATGCAAATCCGGACAACGATTTTACGTCAGGGATAAAACAAACGCGGTAACAACCAACATTGTTAACGTCGTCGACAACAACAGCAACAACAACGACGACAACAATAACAACAGCAACAACAACGACACTTTTAAAGTTTGTACCTGAAACCTTTTCTTCTCATCTTATTATATATGGTTATAAGCAGCACTTGTTTACTGTCAAGTGTGACGACAATGATAATAATTATAATTTTCGAAAATATTATTATTACCAATAATATTAATAATTAACTCACGTGCTTACTGTCACTGCTAGTATCCTTATGCTGGGTATTTCGTTTGATTTCGCAACAAAGATCACGTGCCCATAAGTAACAACACAAACGCCAACTATAGACGGCCAGCCAAGCGACGTCCTCACGAAGTACTGTGTCGTCCTATATTTAGAACAAACTAATAATGGAGATTCTAGACATACTCAACACGTCCTCCAAGTTTTGCCTAGCCGTAATTTTTCAAATCCTAAACTAAAATCTTGATACTTTTGAGATAATAACACAGTTGGACTGTAGTGTTTCAGTATTTGACTTCTGTCATCTTAAACCTTTTGTCTCGAAACAGTTTTGTTGAAGCTTACGCAACTTAATCGTGCCTCTAACATTGGCAAAGGTTCGGCCTTTCTCGGGTAATCTCGGTATCGGGTAATCTAGCAGTATTTTTTCAAATCCTAAAATAAAACGTTGACAGCTTTTTATATAATAACACAGTTGGACTGTAGTGTTTCAGTATTTGACTTCTGTCATCTTTAACCTTTTGTCTCGAAACATTTTTATTGAAGTTTACGCAACTTAATCGTGCCTCTGACATTGGCATAGGTTCGGGCATTCTCGGGAAGTCTCTGTTACCCTCGGGTATTTTCGAAAACATTCGTGAATCTTCGTCCTTCTTCTAAATCCACTCTCAAACATGTCCAGTGTTTCAGAACTATGACACCCGATGGATTATATTTAGTTTCAAGTTTATAGTTATGTGGTCTAGTTATGATGATAGATCGGTTGTGCCATTAATAACTACTTTGTAGAGTTACATTAACATACCCTTTGAAGTTAAAGTTTTATATTATTCACCTTATATATTATTCAAGTTATATAAAAGCAACAGGCACATACATTTCAATATCAAAACAGAATCCAACAAAACCCAGTTTTAACAAGCAACGATTTTGTAACCTTAAGAAATATTGGGCATTGTTACATTACAAAACATGAATATAATTGGAGAGTGGTATGACAAAGTTTATTAAAATATTTTAACTATTTTCCATATGGCTTTATGAAGCGCATGAATTATGAAAGAATACAGTGCCGCGCGGTTCCTGTAAGGGAGGGCTGACAAAGAGGCTTGTTCTATTGAACTCGACGTCAATGACGCCCGCCCCTCTTGTTAAGGTCGCTCACACGTCAAATTTAAATACCTTGAGGTATAGATATTGTACATGACTTTACACATTCCATTAACATTCCCGCCATTCCTATAATATAATTAATACTGGAAAATACTACACTGGGTACAAAGAAGTATCTTTGTTGCGGTTTCATCGAGTTTGTATACAGTGGCAATGTGGTGGAAACGGCTAGCCGAGCGTAAAATTCAGATCTTTTCATGTAGCAACGTTGATGGTTGAGAGAGGATGGTTGATAATGAGAGCCAGTGTGTCGCTCATCATGACATTAGACAAGATATAACCAACGGGCACCTGTCAGCATCACCCGCACACGTGACACACGTTGTTTGGGCCAACACAACAACTATTACTTATGTTGTAGAAATAGCTGACCTACCCTTGGCAGAACTCCGAGGCAGTCGAGCGAGACGTAGCGAATGTACTTCTGTGTTTTGAATATTATTTTGCGTCGTTCAGTGAACATGTACAGCTGTGATCGTTATGTAATGTTACGTGGCACCTATGTGTTTTTTTTAATATATGTGAACATTATTTGGTTGTACGAATCGTGTCAGTTTTTTTCTCTGAGCATCTACAACTAAACATTACACGATAGTGACAAACCAAATGACCCATCAATATTCGTAGCTGAACTAAGTAAGAGAGTGTATTACTATATATTCCTGAATACTGAATACCATTGAAATGTTTGGTTGGTTTGTTGTTTAACGCGGCACTCAGCAGTTTTCCAGCCATATGGCGGCGGTCTGTAAATAATCGAGTCTGGACCAGACATGAGCATCGATCTACGCAATTGGGATACGATGACGTGTCCACCAAGTCAGCGAGCCTGACCACCTGATCCTCTTAGGCGCCTCTTACGACAAGCATGGTTACTGAAGACCAATTCTAACCCAGATCTTAACGGGTAACCACTGAAAGGTACCCGATGATGTCAGACAAATTGACGCATCACAATTTCTAACAGAATACCACTGAAATGTACCCGATGGTATCGGACAAATTGACGCATCACTATTCCTAACAGAATACCACTGAAAGGTACCCGATGGTGTCAGACGATTTGACGTATCACCATTTCTAACAAAATATCACTGAAAGGTACCTGGTGGTGTTCCACAAAATGACGCATCACTATTCCTAACAGAATAC